TATAAAAATCCTTCATTTTAAGCCTGCCTACTGTAATCACAAATCCTGACAGTGTAACAGTAGAATTGCAAAAATACAGGTTTAAAATGTCATTTGTCCATAGGAGAAAGGTGAGGGTCATCTCCTGCTACACCATTTGCTGCCTGACCAGCAATACAACGTCCACCGCCAGCTGAGACAGGACCCATTTTATAGCCCAGTCCAAGGCATAAGAAGCAATGAGCAGGCATTCAGTGTTTCATTTCAGAACACTCAAATAAATCTTCTAGTAAGTGTCAGATGTTTAAGGCTGGACTCCCGGCATCCTTGCAGACAGGGGTTTTACTGCTGACCTCTATGAGACCTTGAAATCAATACTGCAGCTCATATGAAGGAAAGAGAAAAACCATTACACATGATTCATGACTGAGCAGGCCTTCTCTGGTCAACCTGACTTTTGATCCCACTGGGGTCCCTGTTACATAGGAACATCCCTTAGGACTCTGTTGACATATGAAGGCAAATAACGTGCATGTGTACGTCACAGAGCTGTGCGAGGCCACAGCAGTGGATCTGGATGAGTTGAGAATCAGTGTTCCCACTGGCTGCAAACAGCCAGGGCCCAGTTCTAAGGTCTTCCAAGGAGATCTATGCCTCCCTATAGGTATATATTGGAGAAAGGAGGAAAAAGCTCAAATTTGCCGAGTTAGGAATACTGGGATACTAGATGGGGAGCTATCTCAGTCTCCCTGGGGGATTACAAGGTCTTGCTACAAAAATGGAGTTTATGAAGTGGTGGGCAATTAGTTGTACTGAGCGATTTACTGAAATCATCCCAGAGTCTTGTGTTTATAAAGTACCATTGCCACTTAATTACTATTTTTTAATACATGTATATATATTCTGTGAATATAACAGAAAGCAAATATGAAAAGGTACAGTCCGATCTGAGCAGAAACTATGACTCTAAATGAACATCATGACCAGAAACATATTTTAGGAGTATTACAGAGATTTGAAACTGAAGCTGCAGTCAGGAATTCAAACATCAAATTGCAGATTGTTAGTTGGTTTCCTGAAGTCTGCTACCCTACTTATGAAGAACAAGAGCTGGCTACTGTGACTATCACTGCATCATGAGAACATTTAGAGATGATTGAAACTGATTGGTCCATTTTTGTTTGCCAAGGGCCAGGTTATTTTCTACTGAGAGAAAACAATATAGAGACTAGAATTTTGTATAGTTACTGTTTGCCATTCCTCACCGATCCTTTTGTGCAGAAGGTGGCTGGGATTTGGAGCTCTGCCAGTTGCACTCCTCTCCACACACAGGGCAATCAGCCCTGGCAATGCCTCTGGCAGCCCACGACCACTGAGGCAGGCATCTGGGATTCTGTGTCTTGCTCCAGAGGCATCCCCAGCACAGCCCCCCTCTGTCATTTCTTTCCTTGTGATACCACTGGGAAAGAGCTGAGCTGTCAGAAGGCAGATCCAGGGGGCTGCTCCCCATGACAGCGTTCCTCCATCCAGTGACAAAGTCCATCAAGCGACCCACAGGGGAATGACACTGTCTCTACATAAATCCCATTTCTCTCCAGATATCAAAGGATATTTCTCAGACCTGCAGCTGATACAAATACTTCTTGTAGCAAAGGCAGCCCAAGAAACTGAAATTAAACCAGCCAACGCCAGGCAAAGATGCTGAAAGAAAACCATGATCACCTCAATCACAGATTGAGAAAATATGTCCCAGGAGCCCCTGCCAGAGCACCGGATCTCTGGATCACTCCCATCTCTCCACCACCACCAGCACAGCCCCAAGGGCAGTTCACATGATAACTACTAGTGTCTTTCTGAAGAACATCTGAGCATACAATTTATCTGGATATATTTCTCCCTGTTCATCCTCACTGTCCTTAGCAATTTGCATTTAATGAGCAGACCACACATATTTTTATGGCAGATATTTCACAGCAGCAAACAAAGAGTACTCAGCTGCTTTGGGACAGCGCACAAGTGAATCCTAATCTTCAATTTAACCTCTCCTGGAAGGACTCTGTGCTCTGTGCTGTCCCTCCTCTCTCAAAGCACAGGGCTGGGGCTGCCAAAAGGCCTGCAGGGGGATGAGCAGGCTGTCTGCCAGAGCAGTAAGCTCGGTCCCTCATTGCTGCAGACTTCAGGAGAGCTCATCTACACTTGTCTGCTACAAGATGTTGTGACAGCTGAACACCCAACAAATGACCAAGTTGTTCCACATCACCTTTGCTCCCTGCATTCAAACATAATGAAGCCTTGTAACAAGTGCACTTTTGGTTACACACACAACCATTGGGTGCCTTTTAACCCTCATCCACTGTCCCCTGAAAGTGTGCTCTAGGCAGAATCTAGCTCATTTCCCAGCAGCAGTATAATGGTGGGGATGAGCTGAATGGCAGCATGTCGCTGTACCAGAACTGTAGCAGCAAATGGGGATGGTCTCTGGATGGTCTCTGCACGGACTGAGCAAGGAGGGCTATCTAGAGGAAATAACAGAAAGTATTGGGAACAAGAAGCATTCTTTCAGTCACGGACACTCAGAGCTGTCCTTACATCTCCTCCAAGAAGGCCGCAGAGCTCCTTTTGCATTTCTGGAGCTACTGACAAGCTGAGAGTCTGATCCAAGAGATAACCTGATGTAATAAGATAGCTCAGCTACATCATGCTCTCATGTCTGTAATGCACAGATACAGAAGGGCTGATTTAAGATGGTGTGGGCAATCTTAATTGTTGCATTCCCCGACAACTAAAAGCTTGACCATTTGTCACTGGTAACAATCAGACTATTTTTTGTGGAATGAATACACAAGTGTTTCTATCAGTGCAGCTGACTATATCTGACAGAACAGCAGATAACGTTTTTTCCCCATCAGGTTGAAAACTTTTTATCTGATCATTTTGTTTGCTCTGCCACTGGCAGTTCCTCGATATCAACAAGTGAATGTGTTTCTCTCATCAGACACATTCAACCTCTTTCCAAGAAGCTGTCAAACACTTTTAAATGTACTTGTATTACTTCTTTCGCCTCACTCCACTGTCCCATTAACAATCTCATGCTTGTAAAGCAGGACAAAGTGCTGTGTGCAGCTTGTCCATCAGACAAGCAGAACTGAGGGCAAAATGGAGGGATTCTATCAGCTCAGAAACTATTTGGCCCTGTTCTCTGGCCAGGACTAAGTTGCCTACCAAAAATCATTCTCTTCTTTGAACTTCAGTGTCAAGTCCAGCCTAAGTCTACCCAACCAGAGATTGATAGAAAGGTACAAAACCAAGAAATCTACACTATTCCTCAACTATAGCCGTATTAGGAAGGCAAAAGGGATAAGACTCAGGGGGCTCCAATCACCAGCTAAAAATTTAGTGTAGTTTTTCTGGGCTTGCCACAGCACACAGGCTGAGTCAGAGCTCCTGAGGCACACAGTTAACAACATCTCTAAAGGGGAGAAATGATTGATATCATTTTTCTCAGTGAGCGATTAAGACTGCTTTTAACAATGCAGTCATGCATGCTATGCACTAAAAGGGATGATTCACTAGTTACTTGGAAGAGGAGCATCTTCTTCTTTCAATTCAGAAGCCAGAGAGATTAGCCAGTGTCCCATTAGTGTGGCTGATTAGCATGTAGAAAGAGAAGAAATACTGGCTACTTTTGTCCCTGTCCCCGCATCTGCAGTGCTTTTTCTCTTCAAGCAAGAAACAAATGAGAATTCTGTCTGCAGCAGTGCCATTGATTCCCTCTTTGCACAGTCTGACACCAGAACTGGCTGCTGGCAGCGGCTGCAGCTCCCTCCTCTGCCTCAGAGCGGCAGGCACCCCTGCGTGCAGCCCCATGCCATCTGCACAGCACCACTGGCTGATGCTGCACGGGACGTCTGTGCCTTCTGATGTCAGTGCTGTTGCCTCTTCTGAACGAAAAGAGAACAGTTATAGGTAGAACTGGTAAAGAGGACAACAATAATGGATTTCTTCTTATCTGAACCATATTGTTGCTGAAAGTAAGTTTACAATAACTTTTCTCATCCTTCTATCCCTTTTTGAAATGACATCATGTGTATAATAATCTGCCACTCCCAAGCCTTTCCTTTCCCAGAGTGGGTAGTCGGCAGTGCAAGGCACTCTTTGCGACACAGTGTGGTGCAATAGAGGAGCATGATGGCACAACCGTCTGAGAGCTAATGCTAGAATTTCTTCATGTCTTTTGAAAAGAAATGGTGTTGTCAAAGCCTGCATGCAAGACAATTCTAGCGAGCAGAAGTTGATGCTGCTGCCTCTTCGTCGCAACAAAAGTTTAATTTATAGCAAAGTACAAAGCTTTTTTTTTTTTTTTTTAACATTGATCAAAATTGTCACGGATGATCTCTTTCCCCTGTCCACATATGACTTAAAGGCAGCTTGTTCTGCATGCTTCTGACTGCAGTCACGTAATGATCGCTTGGACATGCTGTACTCAGAAAACTGGCAGCAGTTCCAAGATTGATGAATGACAGACTTCTGGAATCCACTGTCTGCACTGCAAGGATACATACAGTGAGTGCCCTTGCATCCAAACACAATCCCCACACTATCCCTAACCACCTTTACATCCTGGACTCCACCAATTTAATAGATACCCTGTGTCATTCATCCCTGGCTTTTACTTATCCTTTCTTCTGACCTCATCCTGGCTCCCCTTGGCCTTTCACCCTTCTCCTCCTTGGCTGCCACAGCGCCAGCTATTTATGCAAAATGATTCATCCTCTTCTCCACCACTCATGCCTCTCTTTTCCTTGAAGCAGTCTGGGGAGGATGAGTTGCTACCAGCCTGTGGTAGCAACTCCAAGGGGCAGACAAGCTCCATATCAGCCCTCATCTCCCTGTATGTTAGCACTTCCTTCCCAGACTACATTATAGCTGTTATCCTGCCCTCATCATGGTCCACCTTCAATCTCCTGTGCTGGTTGATATTTATTACAAGCCTTTAGTTAGCAAATCCCTTCTTATCTCACCTTGCTGAGCACAGAGTGTGCTCTTCCCATGTTGACAGAGTGGAAAAGAGTCTCAGCAGGTGTCCATCCAGCTGAGTTCCTGACAGAAAAACACCACAGGTATTTTGTTTCATATTAATTATGTAAGGGCACTTAAAGCCTTGGCTACACAACTCCATACAATACAATTCCAATCATCCAATTTAATGCAAATATAATTTAATCCAATCCAATTTAATGAAAATAACTCATTTGAGAAGCTCTTTGGAAAAAAAAAAAAAAATCAAAAAGATGATATTTTGGTGAAAACAAAGATTTGTGTATGTGTATTTGAAGGTCAAAAAATGACACCAGAGACCAAATAATTGAATTGAAACATGGCCAGGATTTCTTTTAATTAAATAGTGAAGTATATTGACCAAAAGGAAGCTCTTCTGTGAAAGTATCATCTTTACTCAAAACATCTTCTGAATTTATGCACAGTGCACAATGGACACCAGATGAAATCATCCTCAGTATACCTATGCATGTAACCACTGGAAAGTAATTTATTCCACATAAAAAGACCATTATAGATTTCATACATGAGATATTTATGTAACTTACCTTTATTTTTTCTTTCACTACTACTTCTGCATTCATCAGAAGCTCCAAAGACAAATAAACTGTCACTCATTCAACTGATGGTGTGATTTGCCATCCTGCCATGGCTTTACTTTTAAGCTTAAGTTAAAGCAAATCGTCTGTGCTATAAGTGACAAAAGTCCATAACCCCCACTGCAGCAGACTGCATTCAACACAGAACAAGGACAGACCTGGTGAAGGGAAAATGAGCACAGCATGGAATGACTGCTAAGGTTTTTCTCTATAAGCAAAACTCGTGTGTTATTCTCCAAATGCTTCCTTGGAAGTGCCCTCAGTGTTTTAGTTAAAACTTCTCCTGTCGTCTCCCTTCCGTTCCCCACAACATACAGCCATTTATTTAGTGCCATAGACTTCAGAACAATTTATTCACATTTTTAAAAGTAAGGAGTAATTGATAACAGTATCACTGCACGGAAATTGCCTGACAGCCTTCTGCTAGGTGCTAATACCTGTGCTCTGCATAGCAGAAAAACTGCCACTTCTCTACCAGTGCTTCAGTGAGACAGTTACTCCCCCACCCTGCAGAAGGTCATCACTGACTGTTAATACGTAACCCACGGATGTGTTGGATCTTTCCCTGCAGCGCTGTTTCAGGCACCGCAGAGGAATCCCCTCTGCTACCCACGCCAGCAGCAGGCAGGGAGCTGCGCTTGCAGCAAGGGGCACCCAGCTTCAATAGCTGCCTGAGGACACCTGCCTCCCACCCTGCCTCCCTCCACGCAGCTCTGTTGGGAGGGGGCTGCACGGCGGCTCCCTGGGCTGATCCACACAACGAAGAGGATGCTCTGAATCCAGATTGCTTTTGTTATCAGAATGGCATCAAGAACTGCGGTGCTGGTGCAGTCAGGAGAGCAGGCGCTGGAGAGGAAGTGTGCCATGGTTCAGACAGCATCTCTTCCCTTAATAAAGGTAGAATGCAATTGAAAGAGCGTTATGGTTACACAGTCATCAAACAGATAGCTCACAAACAAAAAGGATAATGCATTGGTTCAAAAAGAAACAAGACTGAACAGTAAAAACTGCTTCATACATGTTCCTTCAGCAGAGGAAGTAGCTACATGTATATGACTACATGTATAGCCATTAAACAACATGAAAAAGACACAAACATGAATCCACGTGCATATACACATTTACACACGTAAACACGCAAACATGTGAAAGAAATGCAGAATACACCTCACGTAAGAGTTTTTGTCAGCTTTCAAAACTCGCATGCAGCTCTGATCGTCTGAGGCAGCCAGTTCACGGCAGCAACAACCAGAAAAGCCTATAGAGGGAGCAGGCCGCCTGCTTTTTCTGTGTGACGGGTTTTCAGCCTTAAGGAACAGCCCTGAGGGAAGGACAGCCAAAGGTGGAGGACGATCATGTCTTAGGGAGCAATCCCAGGGCCTGATCAGGTTACCCTGCAAAGGAATGGAGCAGCAGCAGCACCCACCTGCCCAGGCCATGGGCAAGAGGATTGCAGCTACGTCTCCCTTCCTCCTTGCCCTATCTTCAAGTTCACACCTGAGCCCTGCAAGAAGTCAAGAATCACTTACTGTTTTCTCTCTTCTGTAGTCGCTGGCATGTCCTAATGCTTCAGCCTCCTTTCTTCAAAGTTCAGCAGAATTTCATCTTCTGACACCTACAGCCAAAGTAATACAGCACTAGCTAGAAGGCAAGAATGCAGTAAGCTGCCTGCTGAACAATCAGAATAACTAGAAAATGCACAACTGCATGTCACAGATAACATTAGAGAAGCAGGATCAGTATTAAAATTGCATTCAGAAGACAGAAAACACGAAAATATCAGTTACTGTGATACTGTGATTACTGTTTATATGTCCAAATTTCAACAAATCAAACATTACGTCCATTCTAATTCACACACACATACATACAAAAATAAAAATAAAAATAAAAACCTTCAACCCATGTATACATTTATTATAGGTACAGAAAGTCGGTAGTTATTGGTTCAGCCCAGAAGGCCCAGCCTAGGGTGCCTCTGCTAAGCGTAATACAAACCTGTGCCAAGAGCCTTACCTTGCCTTGTTTTTATAGCCCAAGGAAAGACAGAATGATGGGACTTCTTGTTTTGTTTTTGAAACAGATAGGGAGCTGTGAGCAGAAAAAATTAACAGAAAGTGGATCTTACCAAACAAACAGAGATTCAGCCTTTAAGATCAAAAGGCTGGCAACTAAAAGATGTAGGTTTGGGAGTAAAGACATTTGTAAGAAGCTTAACTGAGAGGCCTATGCTTTCTCATCTTAAAAATAACAAATGTGCAAAGGAGAAAATGGTGCATAATGCATGGCAGATCCGCAAGTGTAATTTACTGTGTCATCCCTGTGAATTCTCCATGTAGAAGGACTGGCCACCAGAGTGTGCACCAGCTAACTTCCATTTCTGTAAAAACTTAAAAGGCACAGAGCATACAATATTTATACATGAAATTATACTGAGAGCTCTCCCCCCCACACACTAAGGTCTAAGAATGCTGTAGCATTCGTCTCCTGGGGAGCAAGAGCAGGCTTTAAGACTGCAATACTTATAGTTAAGCACAGGTCATGCAGCAGTAACAGAGAAAAGGAACACTCTGCCCTTCAGTTCCTAGGCATTGCAGCTTGAGATTTTTTTAAAAAGATAGAATTACTTTTCCTTAACTAACCCCTATAATGTTTCATCTTTTGATACAGCTCTGCTTCTTCTTTTTTTTTTCTCCTTTTCCTTTTTGGAAATTGGAGAGAGACAATTTGAGGAATATATTCTACACAGTGATGTGATTCAGCAACTTTCTGGAAAACATAAATGCAGCCCTTTTTGTCAGTGCACTGATGAAACACAACCAGCAGCAATTTCCTTCATACTGGGCTTAACCAAAAGCAGGCAATGTATCACCAACCTAAGCTCAGAGGTCTCGGATCACAATGTCATTTCTCATGTTCTTTTACGTGACTACGAGCTGCTCAAACCCAACCAGTGACAACAACCACAGTACTGCAGAAGTTGCTCAGTGTTACTCAGGGTGGCTCAGCAAATACATTTTCCTTTTCATCAAAATTCTAGGTAGCTTTTGCCCATACCAACACACAAGGCTGTTGCTTCTCAGTATCCCAAGGGCATATCCACAGAACGGTTGTTCTGCAGCTCCACCAGAGCAAACCCCTCTGTCATGGGGTTGCCTCATCAGAATTTTTTTGGCATGAGGACACAGGAGTGAATGAGGCTTAGTAACTCCACTGTAAAAACATGATATGATTTTGCATATTTGGTATTCTTTACCCAAAAGTGCCTCAAGGGTGGGGAATCAGATCAGAATTAAAAATTATTCGCCTTAAAGGAACAAACTCCCACTCTCTGCCCCAGTGACATGAAAAGTAGTAAAAAGAGCTGAGGGAACTGTTGTGCTATACCAGGTGAATTAAAACTATCCCTATAAAGATATTTCTGTCCATAGGGTAAAGGAGTCCAATCTTCAGGCAGGCAGTGTGGTAGCGATCCCCAGTAAGCAATGGTGCCTGTGTCCCCTACTCAAGGGCACATGCAGGAGTGGTGGGCAGCACATGTCCTGCTTACCACCATGACCCCTCCTGCCCTGGGCTGCCAGAAAGCCGCAGTGGCAGCTCTGCAGCACCCACAGCTCATGTGCAGTGTGTCCCGTGATCAGCCCAAAGAGGAAAAGTGCTGTGCAAGCGTCAGCCGCTGTTGTTCCTGGCAGCGCTGCGTGGGGATGCTTGCAGGCACTGCCTGTGAGGCTGGCTAACCACTAACCAGCATGGAGCCTCTGTGCTGAGAGGCACCAAGCACTATTCACCACACATATTCCCATCTGCAAAATAAAAAGTGATTCTGACAACAAAGTCTTCCAGTGACTAAAGGACCAGCGCGCCGCTGGTATCAAGTAGTTGGCACAATTTCTATCATAAACACTGCTATCAGGTCATTGTAACTCAGCTGTAAAAACTGGCTCCAGGCTGATATTTGGCAAACAAGACCCAGCAAGATAATCCTTTTTTAAACACATTATCCTATCTGAGTAATCTACAGACATGGGAATGGAGAGGTCTGCAGATGCAATCCCCACGGACGTCACTGTTGATCTTCTCTGCTGATGTGGAGAAGGGCATCCAGGGATGGGAGCACCTGGCCATCCCAGTGGGAAACCCAGAGACCCACAGACATACCTCGTCCCATCTGGAACCACCAGATTTCCCACAGAAGAGAAGGGTAAGTATCATCTATTGCTCTATCAGAAGAAATATCTCTCATTCTTCAAAACAGCTCCTTAGTCACAACACCATAATGCTGTGCTGGCTGCCACAGTCCTCTTCTATTTCAAAAGGCTTCCTGTGGACTGTACCACATCTGAAAAACACTTTGGTTGAAAAAATGCCATCCATCAGCCATTCCGAATGGAGTTTTGCAGATCTGCGCAGAATAAGAGACAGGACAATAAGAATGGTTAAATGCAACAGGGTGGAAAATCAGCACTAAACAAATTGTAACAATTATTTATGTATCTACGCTCAGGTTTTATAGTTAGGAATGCTTCTTTCATTGATTTCATTATTAAAAGTCTGTTTCAGCTAGGGTTTCTTTTTTAAATGCTGAATCTCATTTCCAAACGCCCTCAGGGAGCAACAGCCACAACAATAAAATTAGGAACCAATTACCAAAGATAAAATTAGAATACCTAAACCCAGCACTATACTGGGAAAATGCAGTGTTAAAATGTATGAGGTAAAATGTTTTCTAACTATCTCAGTGTTAAACTTCATTTTGTCCTTGGAATGGGCAAGGGCAGAAATTTGTGACAAATTATCATGTTATTAAACACAACTGTTTTAAAACTAGTGCTGTTTTTTGTTTGTTTGTTTGTTTGTTTTCTCAGTATAGCTAAGGCCAAAGAGGCTTAGTAAGATTTTAAATTAATTTTTAATTAAGAAGACTTTTTTTTTTTTCCCCAATGTTTTTTAACATCGCTTCCTTTAGGATCAGGATTCAGGGAGATACTGAGAACATAGATGATACAAATGGTTTACTTTTCCATACTGTTTACACAGTAGATCTGAAGGATCTGCAAATCAATTCTTTGGTACAAGTGAAGAACACACCACAACCACAACTACCACCACAGTGGCAAAAGCAGCAGTAGGTGCCCAAGATCCATTTACCTACACTAGGGCATCCAGTCAAATACTTTGTGGTGAAATCATCTAATTTGGGTAGGATTGACATTTTGGACCATAAATACCACCACGGATTGGAATTGGGCTTCCACTACCATTCCTGAATAAGCACCTTCATGAGACAGATGTTCTCATGAAGCACACGTTCAGGCTGAGCAAGGCTAGACATGGCAACTCCTCTTTGTGGTCATGTTGAAAAGTGCACTGCCTTTTCCTGCAAAAAAAAAAAAAAAAGAAGAAGAAGAAGAAGAAGAAAGAAAAAAAAATCAGCATGTTTCCAAAACCAGATTGTGTTATAATATCCAAACTGGTACGGCAGGGGGGAGAGTTGTTCCAGCACTCTCCTCTCACATCAGGTAACTCCCCAATTTCTTCTCATCTTCAAACACGTGGCTATTATGCACTCCTCAACAAAATACTGTCAGATACATTCACCAAACATTCTGATGCTGATGAAAAAGAATCATTCAATTGAAAAAAAAAAAAAAACAGTGTCATGAAAACACTTTGTTTAGAACATTGCTTCAGATGAGTGAACAGCTCATTTGGTGTTCCTGGGTACTGGAGTCTAGCTCAGTGCTTTTGCAAAATATATTTTTAAATAAAGGCTCAATAGTATGTTTGTCTTATATCAAGAACTTGAAACTTCTGTGGAAACAAAGCATTCTCTCCTGGCAGTATGGCAGTGTCTATAGGCCTTGAAGCTAGCAGACAGACCCAATGGGTTTCACGAACCATTCTCCAGCAAAAATCTGCACACAGGAGCTGACTCCTTATCTGCACTTCAATCAAATGAGCTTATTGTTAAAGTTTTACAAAGCAGCCCAGCAGCAAGGTGAAAGATGAAGAGATATTGAATAATAGATAAGAATATTTTTAGTCAGCTTAGATGTATTCACATCTCCGAGTGCAAGCTGGAAAAGACCCACAGACAGCCCTGGGATGGGGCTCCCATGCGCAGGCAGGGCAGTGCCCTGCAGCCTGGGCTCATCCTACCTCCCTGCCCAGAGCAGGGCACTGAGGCACTAGACATCCCCTCCTGCTACAGAGGTATTTTTGGTTCTTATTCACCCACTGCTTTTTAAGAGCAGTGGTGCTGCCCTTCAGCTTGCAGCAGACAGAGCTACAAACTTGCTCCCAAGGCTACTCCTTGGGATGTTCCTTGATGGGAACATCAGGTTTCCTGCCACCCTGCTCAGCACAGGGGCGACACAGAATTTGTTGCTCTGGAAACACCCTTCCCCAAATGCAAAAGAAAGAAACAATTAAAGTGTCTGATTGCAGCACTATTCTGTGTCCTTTAGCCACACTAGGGTCATTGCTCCAGTGGTGAGGCACTGGCACAGCTGTCCAGAGAAGATGTGGGTGCCCCACTCTTGGAGACATTCAAGGCCAGGTTGGATGGGGCCCTGGGCAGCCTGAGCTGGTGGGTGGTAGCCCTGCCCACAGCAAGGGGTTGGAACTGGATGATCTCTGGAGTCCCTTCCAACCTAAGTCATTCTATGATTGCTTTGTTATTGAAGCTTGAAGAGACCAAGATTTTTAAAAGATCTTTCCACTGCATGAGCCAGCCCAATCCCTGTTGCCTCTCCCTTTTAATGAAGATCAGAGAGTACTCGACATCTTTGATCTCACTACAGATCCTGAGAGCCTCTCAAGAGGTGGAGGTATAATAACATCATTCACTGAAAAGATAGGGAGATACTGACTGAAACTGTACTTTCTGAAATAAGTGCCAGTGAAAAATGAAAACTCATTTGGATAAGCCTCGTTTCTAAAAGGAATCTATTCATGTGTCCCTGGGAACATGCACACAAGAACTGCTGTACTAAATCAGATATGGTATTTAGTCCAGATTCAGAGTATTCGCACACAGTCCATCCGACTGTGACACTGAGCACAGAGCAGAAATGCCCTCACCTTGTCTCATTTATACCTGGGAGACAGTACATAATAGTGGGGCAGACAGCTGTAAACAGGGAAAACTTATCTCAGTAGCATGTGAGAAGTGCAGTCCATTACAACAATGTGAAAAGATCCAAACATTGGTCTTCTGGGGCAGAGGCAACCATCAACCTGCAGTGCCACGTATCTCAGTGCTGCTCACATTATCCAAATGTTCTGACAGGACATCTTTGCTGAACTCTTTATTCCCTATACCTGGACTGCTGAGCTAGCAGGTTCAAAATCAGGTTGGACGTATCTGAACTGTTACTTGGGTATTGGAGAAAAAGAGCAAGTATCAACTGACGCTTGAGACTGCAGCAGAGATGCAGCCCAGCATTTTGTCCATCCTGTCCAGCAAGGCCTTTCAGCACACACATTGCTGTGATCCTTTGAATAGACTCAGCAATGGCATTAGCTTAATAATGAAGTGTGCTTTGAGCTCCCTTTTGGACTGAGAAATATCTTCAAAGCATTTTATAAAAACACAGTAGAGCCTCAAAAAGCAGAAAACAAAAGTTCCCCATTTCTCTCTCTTCCAGCTGGATGCTTTGGAAATAGAATGCTTTGGCATAAAATCTAGATATACTGAAGCAATTGCCAGAGGCCATCCAAAGTTACAGCCAAGTCCATTTTGGGGAGTATGGACAGATACAGACAGGGCACCTGTCCTAACCCAGACAAGCCCAAATGCCTGGTGACAGAAAGCATGGTGCACAATGACAATGGGCAGGGCAGAAGGCTGCACATCATGTTGCTGTGAGGGCCTGGCCAGGTGCTGTGCCACTGCAGCATGAAGGGCCCAAAAGGCTACTGCAAGCAACCCAGAGGGAAAATATTGCTTAATAAATCTGTGGGTCATATTCTCCCATAGGATCTCCCTTCAGATCTTGCAGCTCATTAGGAAGTGCAGGGGTCATGTCCATGCAGACCCACTACTTTTGCATCTGTTTTGGCCCACCAAGTCCATCTTCTGCTTCCCAGCTCCCTCCAGGTGAAGTTCCAGATTGAGTGAAATACTAAACTACCTGCAGACTGCATTATTTAGAAATAATCTTCTCCTCCTGTAGTTGCATCATTTGGCATTTTAAGCCACGTTTTCCTTTCTGGGGAATCGTGTATACCCTTCAACTCTCTTCTCCTATGTGTCTTCCCACTTCTAATCCTTTCTTCCTTCAGCTGCAATTTGGTATTCTTTCATGTGTGCAAAATTTCCAGTGAAGCAGTTCCTGCTTTCTCCCACTCCCACATCATCTCCCAGCCCAGATCATCTGTTGTACTGTGCCATCATAAATATTTGTGCAGCCACATGGTGAACCAGATCAGAGAACTGATCCAGCTGAAAAACAGCCCATGGGAGAAAGAAAAAAAAAAAGCAATTTTTCCAATATAGTATGCCACAAGGTCACACAAATTCTTGTGTTGCAACTGTTAGTTTGTTTTCTGTAAGAACAAGAATGGCTGACTGCAAGGAGGAAGAGGGAAAAATCTCCTGTTTTAAGCTTTGCTGGCCTTAATCTATTTCCACATTTTGGCATTTGCTTTCATCAGCGTTTGTCCCCCCCCCCTACAAAAGCCTGGAGAAACCCCTTCTCAGAGAAGTGAATAGGCACAGAGCTATTGAGGTTCCTAGCCCCTCACAAATGCCTAGGGGAAAATTCTATGCACAATGATATCTAATTCTTGCCTGAATTTGAGGCCAAGACCCTGATCTCCAAGACAGTGCCCTCACATCTGAGTAAGAGCTTCCTCCTATAAGCAACGAGCTCAGGGATCCTTTGGAATCAAATGCTAGCACTTCAGAGGCAAACAGCGTATTTCTCTCTATCTCACTCTCCAGATCTGAGGACTGATGTGGCATAATGCCTCCTGGTTACCTGTTCTACAGCCCTACATTGTAAATTGGAGGAAAAAGCCTGGAAACATTACCACTTGATTGCATTTTGCCAAACAGACTTTTCAACAGCTCACTTTCCATTTAACAGATTCTAATAAGCTAAGCCAAAACCCAAGGCCAGAAAACCCTGGCATGAATTCTCTCAATTTCACTTCTTTTTATCTCAACTTCTTTTTTCAAAATAAAGCAAAATAAACCACAGATATTTCTCAGGATAGATTTGGTAATCTTTTGGGAAACACTTGAAAAGTGTGGCAAAATACAACAATGCTGCTCAATAAAGCTGTACAGAATACACAGAAGTCCTTCCCCCACCTCCTCCAACTCAAACAAGAGCCAAAAATATTGTTTTGTCCCCATTGGTTTGTGGTGTGACAGCAAGGATATGAGACCAGCGGATTCCATGAGTGGGAGGACCAGCTACAATGAGAAACTCTTCCTTCTTTTATTGCTCCCAGCAACTGTACAATTAACTGAAATTGTGGCTATCCTTTCAGCAGTGAGTTAATGTATTCAGGCTAAGGATAGTGTCTAAGTGAACATTACAGTTTCCTGAAGAGGCTGCAAATCAGCAGTCTGCCCTGAAATCATATCCCATATTACCCTTCAGTGAACTAGAAACACAAAGGTAGTATGTTATCATATGCTACGAGACTTCCTTCACACAGTGCTTGTACCATGGCAAGCCTAACGCATACACTGATGGACATATTTAGCTTGAGGCAGTTTATCCAGTAAACATCAGGGGAAACTGTGCACAAAGACAACAGGAAGGGACTGATCCTGGTTAGCTCTACTATTCCAGAAGCTCTGCTAATTTTGGAGAAAGCAGAGCAGGATTTGGCTATATAACAAACAGGCAAGTGTTTAAAGATGTTAAACTGGTTTGAACTCTAGGAACTAAAGAGGATGTCAAACCTATTTCTGAGCAGAGACTGCATAAGGAAGGCTTGTTCTCAACATACCCTTGAGGAAGAGCTGCCTTTGATTTTTTCCTCCAATTCAACAAGAAAGTTGGTATGCTTTGAAGTATATCTGAGCTTTTTAGCTGCATCTAACAAAAGATATGACTTGTTCCTTCAGTGAGTCTTCCCTGATATGCTCCACAACAAAGCTTCCTCTTACCTCTGTCTCCATTCCAATAACATTTACCTGGACCCACAAAGTCCACCTTTCTTGCCATTCTTTTTGCCCTGCCACACCATCCACTTAGGCCTCTCGGAACAAATTCTCTAGACCTCCCCCTCTTACACTGTCATAGAGACAGAGCTGGGAGATGCAGCAGGGATGGAAATGAATGGCAGAAGAAGGAGGAGAGTGGTGTATTGACGTTGAGAACTGCTTGGCGTAGCTCTGCCCAGAGTAGGATGCCA